CCCAGGAGTTGGAGGTTGCTGTGAGCGTGATGCCATGGCACTCTACCCAGGGGGATAGCTTGAGGCTCCGTCTCAAAAAAAAAAAAAAAAAATAGCCAGGCATTGTGGCAGGCACCTATAGCACCAGCTACTTGGGAGGCTGAGGTAAGAGAAGAATTGCTTAAGTCCAAGAGTTTAAGGTTGCTGTGAGCTGTGATGCCATGGCACTCCAGCGAGGGTGACAAAGTGAGACTCTGTCTCAAAAAAAAAAAAAAGAAAAGAAAAATTTATAAAAGAGCACTTTATTCCCTTTCAGCTAAACATTGTCTTTGTCCTATATTTTACTTTGGAGTGGGAGTTATTACAGTTTAAGTGTTTTCTTTATCTGCTTTATAGCTTCAAATCAAGATGTTCTCAGAGGGCTGGGCACAGTATTCTCATGCCTATAATCTCAGCAATTTAGGAGGCCAAGGTGGATGGATTGCTTGAGCTCAGAAGTTCAAGACTAGCCTGACCAAGAGCAAGACCCCATCTCTACTAAAAATAGAAAAACTAGCCAGGCATTGTGCCACACACCTGCAGTCCCAGCTACTTGGGAGGCTGAGGCAAGATCACTTGAGCCCCAGAGAGTTTAAGGTTTCTGTGAGCTAGGACACTGCAGCACTCTACCCAAGACAACAGAGAGAGAGACTGTCTCCTCCACCAAAAAAACACCAGTGTTCTCAGTGCCAGGCTTAGTGGATGGCATTGCCTGCATTTTCTTCTCAAGGTGTCTGCAGAGCCCTACAAAGTGGGGATATCTCTATGTGCAGCCATGGGAGAGGCTCTGCAGGAAAGGAAAGGAAGCTGGCCACAGTGACTGGCCTGCATGCTGGCCTCCTCATTCCTTCATCTTACTCCCGCCAGACTGGCCTCCTGCCAGTCTGCAGGCACAGGGGACAGGTGCTGGAGCAGGGCTTCCCACCCTACGAGGGGGCTTCATTGTTCTCTGTCACTCTAAGTAAGTATGGTGAGTGAGGTCAGTCAGCATCAGGTGCATTGACCAGAAAAAGGGTGTTTGTCTAAGCCTCTGACCTCCTTCCTCAGCACTCCTTCCCTCCATGGTCAGGAGGAGGCGTGGCCACGTCGTTGCCATCAGCAGCATCCAGGGTAAAATCAGCATTCCTTTCCGATCTGCATGTGAGTACTTCTTTCTCCCTTCCCCAACATGTTTTTCTTTATTGTTTTTTCCTAATTATATAAATAACATATTTAGGCTGGGCAAGCAGCTCACACCTGTGATCTCAGCACTTTGGGAGGCTCAGGCAGGAGGATCACTTCAGCCTAGGGGTTTGAAGTTGCAGTGAGCTGTGATGATGCCCCTGTGCTCTAGCCAGGGTGACAGAGTGATACTCTGTCTCAAAAAAATAAAAAATAAACATAGCCAGGTGTGGTGGCGCCTATAGTCCCAGCTACTTGGGAGCCTGAGGTGGGAGGATCCCTTGATTCAAGGTTATGGTGAATATGATCATACCACTGAACTCCAGCCTGGGTAACAGAATGAGATCCCATCTCAAAAAAACAAAGGGCTTTAAAGGTGATTTCAGAAACTATTCTAGTAACTCCTTTCTTGGCTCCACCTTCCAAAAAGAAATACTAATTTTAACAGCCTCATCTACTTTCACCCTCCTCCAAAAGGTAGATTCAGGCACACCCAGCCACAGCCTGGTCAGTGGGAGAAGGGAAAGTCATGCTGTTTTGGCACTTTGAAAGTCTGTCACCAACATCCAATTTGATAATATGGTGCAGTCAACTATCTGAGAAAGTCCAATAGAAACTTATTCTTTCTTCCAAGATCTGAATCCCAGCTCCAGCTGTGGGTTCTAGTTGTATGTACTTGGACGGTACTTACCTTCTCTGATCCTGTTTCCTTACTTATCCAAGAGGCTTAAAATTATTACACCAGCTTCACAGGGCTGGTTTAATGATGCGTTGAGACAACCAGAGATGTCCTTTATAAATTGCAATGGTAAACTGCAAACCCTATGTATATCTATGGTTATTATTTCTCTATTAATATTTTATTTTTCTTTTTGATAGGACAACCATCTAAGGCTGCTCAAATGGTTTAGAAAAAAATGTTATATGTATAATCACAAATGATAAAGCAAATGAATTAAAACATTAGTAACTGATTAATCAGGAAAAAGGATACAGAGTTCTTTAATTTTTTTTTTTTTTGAGACAGAGAGTCAAGCTGAGCCCCTGGGTAGAGTGCCCTGGCTTCACTGCTCACAGCAACCTCCAAGTCCTGGGCTCAAGCGAGTCTCCTGCCTCAGCCTCCCAAGTAGCTGGGATTACAGGCGCCTGCCACAACGCCTGGCTATTTTTTGGTTGCAGCCGTTATTGTTGTTTGGCAGGCCTGGGCTGGATTTGAACCCACCACCTTAGGTGTATGTGGCTGGCACCTTAGCTGCTTGAGCCACAGGCGCCGAGCCCACAGAGTTCTTTTTTAGTAAAAAGAGTTAAAGAACTCTGTGTATCCTTTTTCCTAAATTCTTTACAAATTTTACTTTGATTTAATCCCACTGATTTTTTTTTTTTTTTAGAGACAGAGTCTCACTTTATTGCCCTCGGTAGAGTGCTGTGGCATCACAGCTCACAACAACCTCAAACTCATGGGCTTAGACGATTCTCTTGCCTCAGCCTCCTGAGTAGCTGGGACTACAGGCACATGCCACAATGCCCAGCTAATTCCCACTGATTTTTGTTCTCTGATTGGCCTGCTAACTTCAGCAAGGCATATATGGTTGGTCTCGGTCAGCTTTTTTTTTTTTT